ACAGAAGTACAAAACTTTATCTCTTTCTCAAGAAACCGGGGGCCGAGGATGAAAATTAGCGCGATTTCTATACTGGCGATGACTCGCATCGCACGAAGCTAATTCGGATTTGGAATTCTCCACTTTGCATGGAATTACCTTCGCGCTCTCTCCTTGGCTTGAATATTCATGCGGAAAGAATGCATTTGATTACTTAATAGCCGCGACTCGCCGCGCGTATAAAATTATTAACGTACGTCAACTGCAAACTTAACTGCTCTGCTGTTCCTGCCGTTCTTCGTTTTCCTCCTGTACCTTTCCGAGCACTAATTGAAGAGCACACAGGAACGTTTTAACTAGAGAGGCGAGGGCTCCATTATTTTCCAAATTTATACAAAACGTAAGTATTTCATTAAGGGATTTTTTATCCGAAATTTCAAACACGGCGATGTTAAATTAATACTCGACTCGAAAGAAAGGAACATCATCCACGATAAAAAAATTATAACAATATAAAAACAAAATATTCCATAATATCATAATATGTCATGTGGCAATATTTTTATATTATAGACACGTCGAGAGTCGTGTCAATTTTAAGCTTCGCTTCAAAGACCATATTCGCGCGAGTTAAGTTTATCCGATTCAATTATTTTCCAAATTTATACAAAACGTAAGTATTTCATTAAGGGATTTTTTATCCGAAATTTCAAACACGTCGGATGTTAAATTAATACTCGACTCGAAAGAAAGGAACAAAGAGAGATATAATCATCCACGATAAAAAAATTATAACAATATAAAAACAAAATATTCATAATATCATAATATGTCATGTGGCAATATTTTTATATTATAGACACGTCGAGAGTCGTGTCAATTAAGCTTCGCTTCAAAGACCATATTCGCGCGAGTTAAGTTTATCGTAAAAACGGTGGGATTCATCGTTACCATTATTTTCCAAATTTATACAAACGTAAGTATTTCATTAAGGGATTTTTTATCCGAAATTTCAAACACGTCGGATGTTAAATTAATACTCGACTCGAAAGAAAGGAACAAAGAGAGATATATAATCATCCACGATAAAAAAATTATAACATATAAAAACAAAATATTCCATAATATCATAATATGTCATGTGGCAATATTTTTATATTATAGACACGTCGAGAGTCGTGTCAATTTTAAGCTTCGCTTCAAAGACCATATTCGCGCGAGTTAAGTTTATCGTAAAAGTGGGTACGGTGGGATTCATCGTTACCATTATTTTCCAAATTTATACAAAACGTAAGTATTTCATTAAGGGATTTTTTATCCGAAATTTCAAACACGAACGTCGAATGTTAAATTAATACTCGACTCGAAAGAAAGGAACAAAGGGAGATATATAATCATCCACGATAAAAAAATTATAACAATATAAAAACAAAATATTCCATAATATCATAATATGTCATGTGGCAATATTTTTCATTATATTATAGATACGTCGAGAGTCGTGTCAATTTTAAGCTTCGCTTCAAAGACCATATTCGCGCGAGTTAAGTTTATCGTAAAGGTGGATACGGTGGGATTCATCGTTAACCGCGCGCAAATCGTGATTATCTTGCGGCGGAGCGTCTGGGAGAGGAATAAACGCGAGCGCACGCGGCTGCTGTGCATCGAGATGATAACTCGTACCCTCGTGTACCATACCCGACCGCGAATACGGGCTGATTAAGAAGGAGCCCGATCTCTCCGCGGAGAGGTCGCGAACGGTCCGACGCAACTATCGGTAAAGTTTAATTAGCGTTAACTTTACGATACACTCGCGGTAGGCCAACCGCGTCGCCGTGGTCTTGCCGCTCGAGCGAAATTGAGAGGCAACAAAGAGAGCGAAGCTCGGCTCGAGAAGCTCGAGAAAATGAAATTAATATGATCGAACGATGGTTCGTGGAGACGCGACGTTGCGTCGCGAGGAATTCTATTTTCCGATCCCTATTTCGCGGAACAGACTTTATCACGATTTTCGAGATCTATTTAGTTGTCAAGGTGCCATTTCATGTACAGCATACCATACTGTCACAGCAGTTTGTTGCTATTGGTGAAGTGCGATTGAACGAACAGCAAAGGCAGGAAAGCAGAACACGCAACTAGTTGATTCTAATTATTATTATTATTATTATATTAGTTAAATAATGGATTTTAAGAATAAAATAGATTAGTATGAAAATATAGAAGCAAAAATTGTACTTTTAACTTTGAAATAATAAGAGAACAAAGAAATATATGCTCTAATAATTCGCTGCTGCAGCATGCTGCGTATGAAAAGGCACCTTTACGTGGAAAATCCAACGTATATATAGAATAATCGTTAGAAATCGTGAAAAATTAAGGATTCGTCCTGCCGCGAACGCGTTCGATCTCCTCTCCCTGGATGACTCGCGACCGCGAGAGGAGCAAGATAAATGGCCGTCCTGGCTCGTCTTATCCCGTAAGGAACACAAACTTCGCTTTTCTCTCTCATTCTCGGTGAGTAAAACGATTCATTTCTAACCAACCACCACCATCACCACCTCCCTCCCTCTCCCTCACCCCGTCGTTGTCGTCCGTCGTCGTTGTCGCTGTCTTTTTCTGCGACTACGCTGGATAAATGGGACACGTTCCGTCTTTCTTTTTCTCCTTTTATCATACGGTCTCTTCCACATTGCCCGCGCGCGTTCTCTTTCTCTCTGTCCCCTCACAGAGAGAGCTCATAGGCGCCAACTTTTCCGTACGACCAGCTTTTTTCCCTCCCTCATCTTTACAGACACTGTGATGGATGTTTCGTATTAAAACTGTCGGCGCGGCCACGATGGATCGCGCGGATATTTAATTAGATACGCTCTACAAACGCTCATCGCATCAAATCTATATGTTTCATTTTCCCTTGGAAATTATTAAACATTTATTTTAAAAGCATTTTTACGATTATGAAATATATAATTTTTTTTTCACAACTCTAACAATGTCGAGCAGTTGCTGTAACATTTTAACGATTACGAGTTACGGAAACAGAAAATGGTGCTGCTAATGCAATTGTTACGTTAACTCAATTATTATTATTAACGTCGCTTATCAACGTAGTTTCTCAACATTTCAATAAATTACTTCGTCTCTGCAACTCAAACTTAATCATATTTATTAAAGGTAGTAGAATACTGCACGCTGTAATATATCAAAACGAAGAAGAGAGAGATATTATATGGATATTATATTAAATAGAATATAATAAATAGAATCATGTGAATGCATGTTTCTATTAATACGAAAGACCGCAAAATATATATATATCTTGAACGATATTTCGCGGGAGAAATCTCTCGAGGGGGCTGCAAGTTCGGCGCTTATGTTTCCCAACGCCCTTGTTCCGTCCTACATTCTCCTTTTCTTTCTCGGACGGTGGAAGGCAAACAGCTATAGAAACGGGATATCCCTCGCGAGATAAGAGAGTCAGGACGAGATCGCGGGGGAGAGCGAATAAATAGCGGCGGCAACGTTTTAGTCACGAACTTTTTCCCTTTCGGGACAGTAAACGATGGCGTTTCCCGACGTTCCCGACGGAGATGCGCAAAGGGGGTAACAGTTTCTACATCTTCCCCACGACTCGACACCCGTGAAATAGCTTATACAAAATGCGTGAAAAAGAACTGCCCTCCCAATTTCACGTTTCCAATGTGAGACCGGTCGTGACATTTTATAAAAAAATTTTATATTTTATTTTTTAATTCCACAAAAGCAATTTAGAGAGAAAATCGGATGAGACTTTTATATAAGTTTCTAATTGAACAATGGAATTTATCACGATAAATGAAACCGAAGAAACGCTCCTGTCCGAGATTGCAGCTAAAGAAAAGCCCGTCTTGCTGAAGAGTATTTCATGGCGCATTACCTCTCTAGGCACATATACATTCGCACACGCGCACCTATATACACAAATATAAATATGTTTTTCTCTCTTTCATGAGTTTACTATTAAAGCGCGCGCGCGTCAGATGTTTCTGACAGACCCGATATAACCCGCGCTCGTCGCCGCAGGATAAATACTCGCTACGTGCACTCTCGGTCTTTCTCTTTCTGCCTCTCTCTCTCTCTCTCTTTCTCTTTGGCCTGCTTCCGCTTCCTCTACACTTCGGAGGGTTTATCTTCGTGTCTTTCTTCGTGTCCTCATTTCTACAGAGTTCGCGTCACGAGCTTGACGTCGGTTTGTCTCACTTCGTCTTCTCCGTCGCGACCGGATTTATGGATCCGTTCGACTTGGCAAGATTAACGTTGTCCTTGCGCGCAAGTTAGAGACTCCCAAAATTTGAGGGAAACTCGAAATCTTAATCCCGAGATTTTGCGAGTCAATGTTCCTACACCTGCTATAATTATATTTAAAAAATCTTCATTAATAAAATCTTGAATATCTGTGAAATTATTTTACAATATCTAGCATCTCTAAAAATTTTCATTATTCAAAAAATCATTATTCTGTAAATTTCATTTAAATTAATGTATTCTTTCGTTATTCTCGTACTATTGATTTTATTAAGCATTAAATCGAGTATTAAATATTTATTAAGCATAAAATCGAGTATTAAATTTCTCCTATTACTATCTAAAGTACATATTAATTTTAAATAAGTCCAGAATATGAAGTAATCAAATTATTTTAATATTTAGTATTAATTACTTGAATCATTAAAAATAAATTCTAAAATATTGCAATACGTATACGCGCACTGAAAAAATTTTGTTAACATAACTAAATCATTCAACTAAATATTTATTTGTTAACTGAACATACAGAAATATTTAAATTAAACATAACATATTAATTCTAATGAAAGATATATTTGACTGAAATACTAATATATGTTCAATTAACGAAATAGTAATTTAGTTGAACGGTTTATAGTCAAGTTAACAATTTTGTTCAGTGTGTTTTCTAAAAGAACTGTATTTCCCAAAAATGATAACATTTTTATTATTAATAATCTCCTTTTTTTATATTTCAGGTTTTGCATATCATAAATGAAGTGCTGGAGCCAGTGCGATCCAATTCGGCGGAGTCGCCTATCTACAATCCGAACGCGTTTATATTCCTGAACCAGAGCGAGAATCTTAATTTGGGCGACCATCGCATACGGTGAGTAGATTTATATAATGCGAACGATCATTTTTGAGAGAGAGAGAGAGAGAGAGAGAGAGAGAGAGAGAGAGAGAGAAAGTGTCTACCCATGGTTGTAAAAGAATAACGTTTTTGAATCTCAAAACTTTCATTCATCTTTAAATATATATCGCGTGCCAAAAATGTCATGGAGAGATATTTTTTATTATATAGATTTATCGATTTTTAGATCCGTGACTTATTAAATTATTCAGATCGAAGCGTTTCAAACTTTTTGGTTAAGGCGAATATTCGATTTTGCATTTGATTAATGAAGATACGCCATAAAAAATATCCGTTGCTTCTAATTTAAATATCTTACGTTAATTATTATTATCCTCTCAAACAGAGTTCCATGAGCCGTCTTTAAAGTATTATTACTCCGGTTCATCAATTAACGCAGTCCCTGATTTGAATATAAATACAAAAACTTGGCGCTGAGGATCATTTAAATAACGTAAATAAATACGCGAACTTTTCTCATTTGTCTTATTATAGCATCGGCGTGTCTCGTGCACTACTATCGTTATAATTAACCTTTTTTTTTATTTTCTAGTACCTTCCGACAGCGGATCAACATCGAAAAGAAGCAGTCTATCTTCAAAGCCGAGGGTCGTTTTACCTTTTTCATCCCCGTTGACGAAGGTTTCAAGGTAAGCGGCTTAGCGACCTTCGTAAATTGATCATTCGGGGGATGATTTCAATATCTTTCTCCGCGATCGACTTTGAAAAGATTCGAGGGCAACCGCATTCATTACGCCTACATTCAAAGTAAGCGGAAAAGACGCGGAAAAGACTTATTTAAAGTTTATGTTGCGTGTTTAAATTATATAAAAAATATATGTACATCCACACAAGATTTTTATAATGTTAAAAAAAAAAAAAGAAGATTCGCAAGAATATTGACATTGAATAATTCATGACTAACTTGGAGATTTTTTTTTACGTAAAAGACGAGAACAAATTTAATTTATAATTTGATCGACACACATAAGTATATCTTTAAGATTGAATAACTTGTGCGTAGTATATATCGATATATCCTTATATATTATATCCGAGACATTGCGGGATTTACGCGCATATTCAGGCCATCCCACACGGAACATCCGTGTGTTACAGTAGCGTTACGCGACGTGACATTTTACCAGGGGCTGTAAATTATTCCGTACAGATACGTACAGATGTGGCACTTCAGACGTTTCAAACGTCGCGTTACAAGTACGACAGTCTGACGTCACGCGTAAATTTATCTCAACGTTGACGAAGTGTACAGAGCACGCAATATCTTTTATGCCCTCGTTACGTAGAAATCCATAAAATTATTGCGAAATTACGCCGACGTATAATTAGCATTGTTTTTCTACGCAGATAAAATGATCTTGAAAATTGCCCCGTATATCGAATGTTCGTTTATTTTAAAGCCAAAACAAAATTTAATTAAATTGAAATTCAATTAAAAAAATTTTATTCGTCACTTACGTGATTTTTTTCGCACTGGGCAATTTCTCAAGATAAAAAAGTTTAAAATTTAATGATTCTAAAACAGATATAAACGCTCACCGTCACCGGAACGTTGCGAAGAAACAGCTTTTAATCCATTATGTAATCCATTATTAATCCATTCGGGGCTCTCGATTAATCCATTAAAACAATCCCTCCATGTTTATCGACGCCTCTCAATTCACTCGCGATGCGTTCATGCTTTTCGATTGCACTCGCGATAAACGTGCGTATTCATAAACAAAATTTTTCCGACAGTCACGAATTCGATGGAACGTGATTGATATCGAGAAAAGGAATTGACTGAATATCACACACAGTAAAACGCGATCGTCCTTATATAACACTCGCGGAAATCTGACAGGAGACACGCGTATTCGCGTCTAACCTCTCTTGCGCTACGCAATGACATCGTCCTCACTCTTTAAGAAACGTGTTCGTTCGCGACCGATTAAAGTCGCACATTAAAGCGGAACGTTTCTTGATCACACTCACTCACACTCGCGAAAAGACGCGTGCACGATTGTTTCTCCAACGAGACGCGACTTTGTTTACGTACTGTCACAAGAGCACCTCGATCGCGATCGATTGAATCTGTCAGATTCTTCGGTATTGTCGAGATGCACGACGCATGCTCGGTCGACACGAAATTCCGAAGAGCTCTGGATATTACGAAGTTATGCGAGTATCGTAATCGAGAGCGTAGTCACCTTGTCCGAGTAATTCGTCACGGTGCTCCTCGGTGTTCGAATAATATTCGTGACGGAGAGACGCGGAAGCGAACTGTCAGCCGATCCTTCGACACTCCCGAGCACTCCCGACATGCACCGCGCGAGAGACGCGAAGATGCGGAGAATCAGCAATATGGCCGACGCGAAGAATGACTACTTGAGATTGAGCGGAGATATGCGAATATCATAATCGAAAAAGCGAGCTGATCGGTCGTGACGAGTCTCTCGGAGCCCCGGACATCCCGAAAACCGAATGTCACTCGCGATGGCATCCGGACGAGCGTATAATCGGCGATGCGGACGGATATCTCGACGAACGCCGGAGCCGGCGAAACGCGAACGAAGGATTATTAGACCGGTGCCGACAGACGTATTAATTGCGATCGGCCGATTACTGTCGGCACCGGAAGTGATCGCCCGGCGTTAGATTCTCGGAATCTACTTCCGGATTCTCCGATCCTACTCGTCGACACGGATAAAAAAAGCGCGAAAACACGGAGCGATCGCGACTCGCGACCGTACGTCGACGATGCCCAGCACGAACTAATCACGTGACCGCGAGTACATAGACTCGCGTGTACATACACACTTGTTACTCATAGTGCGTTCCAAATTTGGCGTTGCAAGTGCTCCGTTCGAGATCGACCAATCGGGACGCGGAAATTTTTCATCCCGATTGGTCAATCATGAGCGTCGCGATTGTTTCTCTTTTTTCTTATCTTAATTCTTATCGACTCTCTATCTACATCAATTTATTTATGTACATAAGTCTATAAGGCGCGTAACTCTCTCGAGGCGGGTAAGTGTTTTCTAAGCAAATATTTTCCATCTGCACAGATCTATCGTTTAATCGATACGATATATTTTCATATCGTATCTATTTCAATCGTTTTGCTATTGTTTAATCTATGTATATTAGATATATATGAAGAACTTTTAACTGCATTTTTGCTGTAAAATTTACATAACAACCCGCGTCAAAAATGCTATAGACATACTTTTATCATTTTTACATTTTTATTACTAAATATCGATTGAAATAATTATTTGATCATTAAATTATCGCCATGAAGAATATTTGTTTTCCGACGATGTATCTCCGGTGCATCACTATTTGCATCGTGTTGCAAATTTTACGCGTTAAAATTTTTAATTTGCTTTTTTTCACATAGTTTCAAGAAACGTCCATTAATCCCTGGTGGAAATAAAAAATAATTAAAAATTATGAATTTCGTTGTATAAATCCGCGCGCATTCTCTTCCATCGCCCTTCCTCCGCTTTCCGGATTTTATTATGCTCGCATCGCTACACTTTGGCGCGGAATTCCGCTTTCTCTCCAATTTTTAACATCAACCTCGCACGTACAATGAACGTTCGCGCGTGTAATCCAACTTGGAGCGTAAAAACGAGGCAGAGTTAAACGAGCCATCCCGTCAGAAATTACCGAAAGTTTCGCGCCTATACATACGATATGTCGGACCTCGGGGTCGAAAAAGAGAAGAAGAAAAAACAAAGGTAGAGGAAAAAGGAAAACAGGGAGCAAGGAAAATAGAGTCGAAAGGGTGTGCGAAAAAGTATATGTAACAACGTTGTATACGACTCGATCTCGAAAAGTTCCTTTTTCAACGAGGTTGTCGCTTTTCCGCCAAGAATTCCGCGGCCGATATCGAAATCCCCTCCCAAACACCTTCCGCGTTTCATCACACCTTTCTTCCGACGACTTTTCCTTCGAAGTCGGCATTTAAAGTTGGTCCGCGCAAGAATCGAGTTGCCTTGACAACGCGCTCGCCGGTCGAAATGTCAGATGAAAGGATGCCGTGTATCCGGTAACAAGGAGGTGTGTACGATACAGAGATCCGCAAAAAGAAAGAGAGAGAAAAGTTCTTTTTTTTTTAATTTCTACTATCTCATATACGTTTAAATTATTTTGAAACGCAAGAATTTTCTCTTAGAATTTATCCTGAAAATTATAGTAATCGTTGAACAATATGGCATGGAAGAATTTTTATGAGTTTCTTTAATTAATATTTATATTTCACAATTATAAAATATAAATCTCTATTATGAAAAATATGAATATCTACCATAATAAGATATCAATATTTTTTATTGTAGTAAATATTAATCAGAAATTCTTATAAAATTCTTCCAATTCCGTACTGACCCACGATTACTATGATTTTCAAGATAAATTCTAAGAGAAAATTCTCTTTACGTATCAAAATAATTTAACGTATGTGAGATAATAAAATGTATAATAAAAAGTACAAATAAAAAACTGGCACAATTGTCAAGATGATACAAATGATAATTTTACAATTTATATATTCTTTATAAAATTTATATATATATATTTTTTTATTCTATATTGATTCTCTCTCAGAGACAATCTGCGCTTTTCTCTTACAGCCGGAACCGAGGCCGCAGAAGATTGATAAGGTGGTGATCGACGGGCACGTTTTACCCAACGAAGTCCTGTTTACTTCACCGACGTCTGAAACTATTGAGTATAAAACTCTCGTGTTTTCCGACAATCTGAGAGTCACCGTCAGCTTCCTGAAGGCGAACAATAAAGGTAATATAGTTCGCTCGAATAGTCAATTATTTCAAATAATTTTGATTCATTAGCAGTTTAAGGAGCTATTTATTTATGCAACTACATAATTTATTCGAATTGGCGATGTTATCGTTAAAAGATAGATTTATTATTTATACTAAGAGCGTCGTCGCGCATAAGATGGTTTCATGTATAATAAAACATTCCGCTAAAGGGATGTATCTGCGCTTTAACGGCGAACGACAGTTCATACGTGTTTCGATGTCTAATTGATAGTCCAATTTTCAGTCTACGTTCGATCAGACACGGTAATCGGCGATTCAAGTCATCCGTCCGGAGTGGTGCTGGCAGAGATAGTGAAGGCGAACATCCCGGTGCGCAACGGTGTCGTTCATCTGATACAACGACCGCTTATGGTGGTCGACACCACCGTAAAGGATTTCCTCGAGGTCAGTGCCCCGATCATTATCGGATCATTAATCGGATTTACGAACGTACGTTGTTTGAAAACCGCATCGGTACGGTCGGTTGCACCGATACAGTTTTCCGAAATACATTTCGGTTCGCTCAACTTTCACAAGCTCGAGACTAGCGTTCTTCAATTGGAAATTAAATCGCATTAAATCCCGTCGATTTGTTTGCGGAATTATTTTGCGATAAGATCAATTTTGCGGTGATCAGCGCGCGCTAAACGATAATATTATTCGGAACTCAATTATTGCATGTTGAGAATAATGAAAATAATCAGTTGGTCATGTTTAATAAAGAGCAAATATAATGATTTATAATATGCACAATGCGTCACAACGCATTGTTTTAGACCGGCACAACCTCGTCATCGACGTCATTTTGTCCGCATTCATTAAAATGATTACCTTGGAAATATGGTTGCATTTCGTTAGGACAAATTGTTAAATGTTACGAGGAACTGTAATACAATTTAAATTTTTATATACATGTAGTTTGAAAAAATCATGAGATAGTGCGGTGTTGTGGTATTACTTTCTTTATAACGTTTAAAATTGAAATCATGAAATAATCCATCTTATACATACTTATAAATTTATTCTCGTTTAAAATTAATAATGTTGTCGTGTAACTACATCAAATATTAACATGTTCTATTTTCAAACATAATCTGATAAACAGGTAAAAATATTATTTTAGCACTTTTGCGATGCAGATGTAAACAGATTTGCATTTAGAAAAAAAACGCAATGCTATCTTCATATTTTGCGATGCAAACACACGTATATTTGCATTTCGAACAGCAGGATATTTATTTTTTCGAAATGCGTAAGCGCATTATTCAACCGAAATTTTTATACGATGTGTTATCTTCATGTTTCTCGATGAAAAAAGATAAAAAATTCGGATTGTTATAAATTCTAAAAATCCGAATAAACGGATGTATACGTGATTGAAAAAAAATTACTAGGAGATTTACGGATGTGTTGAAAGAAAAAGAAAGAGAGAGAGATTGGAGAGAGATCTAAAGAGAGATATTATTGAATGAAATTGAAAAACGCTGTAATACGTTAAACCTGTAAAATCCGCTTGCTAAAATTCATTGAGCCTTCCACGAGTCTTCAATCATCCCGTATAACCCCGGCTAATGCAAACGACACGTACGTGCGGTGAAAAAGCGACGGCAATCGACCTGGAAAGTCGTCTACTCTCGCGTATAAAAGCATTGTGACCGGTCCGGTTTATACGAGCCGAACGCGCAAGAAAAAGTCGAAATTTATAACTTCGTTTAAACCTCCTTACCGGGGCTCTCTACGAAATTGAATGCGAACCTTTGTTTCCTACCCGCTCCTCTCGTAGTTTCATTCAGTCGCCGACTGTAAAGGCGCGACGACAGCTCGCCATTCATCGGATCCAGGTTTTTCCGCGAGTCTCGCGTTTGATATCTATGTACGTACGAAAAGCCCTTTCACAGTTGGGTCGAGTTGAGTGATCTTCCGTCTCGATTTCATGCTCGCGAAGATGAATTTTTCTCTCTCTCTCTCTCTCTCTCTCTCTCTCTCTCTCTCTCTCTCTCTCTCTCTCTCTCTCTCGTCTGTGCCTTGCTTAACCCTTTGAGCAACTCGCGACGTATCAACGCGTAGAGAAAGCATCGCTATAATAATGAGAGGTACGAAGCATAATGGAACACGCGAAATTCACCAAACGCGAGTATTACGATGAAGAGAGAATTGTTATTTCAGAAATTTATCCAACCCAAAACTTTGACTGTCAGATTGTATGACTATGTTCAAACTCGAACCGTGAGAAAACATAGCGTACGTTGGTAGAGGAAAGATTTATTTTCTCGACACACGCGCAAAAGGTTACCGTTCGAATCCGCTATGTAATCTAAGACTAAATGGAGAGAATAATTGTTTTTATCGCGTATTTTCTGGTTTTGATATTCCACGGATGAATCGGAATCGAAATAACAATCCTTCATTTCTCTCTATCCTTCAAAAACAAAGAGCTCGATGCGTTTTCGCGGTGTACACACGTTCGCGATAAATCGCGGAAACTTGACGCGCGCGGGTGCTTCATCTCGTCGACGCGACGCGACGCCTGGCGTCTATTATGAATTCAGACCGCGCGATGCATTAGAGAGGCATTAGTATTCGCAGTGTCCCGATACGTATATCTCGACGTGACGTGTTTCGCGGAACCCCCTGTAACACGTCGACCTCAAAGGAACCCTTGGCATTGTGTATAACTTGGGGAAGATGGTGACACGTCGTCGTCGTCGTCGTCGCGCGGATAGGTAATCGCTGCTGCTTGCATCGTCGAATGCAGACGCGTACGTTTTGACCGCTGTGCAAACTGAGAGTCAGACTAAATGAGGCAATTGCAGCCGTCAAGGGCGCGCTTCGTGGTAAATTCGCGAGGACCCTTCACGTATTTAGCATGCGCGACATATATAATGAAGCTTAGGGAGATACGCGAATTTGTCGAGAGACGATATATTCCAAATTTCTATATAATAATTTATTTTATAATTGTGGCTAAAATTAGAAATCCTATCAAATTCAACCGAGATAGAGTCGCGAAGGATTCACTTTGAATCTTCCATACGTTCTGCTTCGCTTATCGTTCTGGCAAATGAGAATGCTTATTATTGTTAACGTTATGATAGTCGGGGGAGAACTTCGCGGGAACGTTATTGAACGATCACCGCGATACCAACCATTTAAGAACGTGTGGAAAAGCTTTCGCGACTAACAATTTGTACCGTTAGGAAGAACGTCGCGCCGAGATAAGCGTTGCATTTCGTTGCGTTGCGTGTACGTGTGTGTGCACTCGCGAAGCCGGCGGAAATGAGAAAGAGAACGGGCTTTACGGCAATCGTAAAGATTCTATCCGGCCGGGGGCTGCAGCGCCGATCCCGTGTATCGTAATGATTCTAATCTCGGCAAGTTCGCAAGCCGTTTTAGCGTCAGGGGTTGCACGCGGAGCACGTGCGCGTACTCGAAATAACTCGCGATAATGTAACACCTTCGGGTATAGGTACATGCGCGCGTTCGGCAACCCCGAGAAACTTTACGCAATGAAACGCGCTTAACTGAATTTTTATTAAACCTTAGAGCTTAAAAGGCGAGTCTCAGCTTCTCACTGATAGATTAAAATCTCAAAGATTTTTTTCAATTCAAAAACTGGATTGTTAGACACAAGAGTCTAATAATTCGTCTTTAATACTTTAATAATTTAAACAAATGTTTGCAATGATGAAGAAATGTATGCACGAATGTGCCAGCTGACCTGACAGATTACTACTTGTTTGATGTGCTTGGTAGACACAAGATTCTAATGAATTTGTCTTCGTATTTTAAAAATTAAACAAATTTGTTGTTATCGTTTGTACGAAGATGGAATATTTAATGTACTCACGAAATGCAACCAGAAGCGCGAAGGATGACCAATGAAACAGATTACTACTTGTTTGACGCGCGTGATGATGCGTCTTTTGACGAGGCCGATGTACTCAGCTATTTCTCGACGGAGAGATGATTTCTCCAATTCCGTCGTGTATTCTGCTAATAATTTTTTACATTGAACAGCAACACGAGCCAAAACACCGCCATTCACAGGAAATACATTCGCCTGTATTCTTGCATCACACGTGTAGCAAATAATTTATACTTGATATACTTAAGTGCAGTTACTCTCTAGTTCAATAACAGCATCATCGCTCGGATAACAGGAACAACGAGCCACTTTAGTTCAAACTACTTTATTTAAGTCAATAACAATTTCATTACTCGTGCAGGTGGCACCCGTCAAGCACAAGTACTACAACTACAACTAGGTCACAAAATTACTCTTCACAAGACTGTCTTTCCTCGTCAAAACGAGGATCTATATTTATTTCATTTTTATTCATTAACTATGCGTCTCGATATCGATCGCGATATTATGGAGCGATGTTAATTAAAAATTGGCCATTTATATTCACATTTCTATTATTGCATTTCTTTGAATTCTTAAATAATCTATTTAGGTTTTCAATTTTAATTTATTATATTATTTTTAATTATAATTTAATTAATTAGTCTAATTGAAATGTCAATTTCCTTTTTAAATTTTAATTTTTTAATATTGACTTAATCTCTTAAACATTCGACTTCTTAAAGATGTTGAGTCATAAAAATTCTAGAGATATAAATATTGGTTAACGACATATATATAATTGTGAGCAAAATTCAAGTTTAATATTTGTGCAATTTTCGATAATGGCCTGCGCGACTGTCAAACATATTTTTAGACAACATCGCCCCAAAGACTCTCGATGTAGTTTCTATGAATTGAAACGCATGGACTCGTCTGTCGATTCTCCCTCGAGACGCTTCTCATTCACCATCGGACAGCTGTTCCACTTCTCGGCGGAAATTCGAGAAAAATGTCGCTGAAACATTATTTCACTCCACGATATATACTGTCACACACGAATGCCTACATGAACGATCGGAACACACGGCTCCCGTTCTACGTACGATAAGCGCATCCGTCCCGCGGCCTCGCCTCTTGCAATACGTGCCACATTATCTATGTGCGCGTGTATAGGGTGATGCGCGCGACTGAGCGCGCATTCACGGCATAATTACGGCTTTGTTGATGCACGTCGGATAATGGAGAAATTTAAAAATTCAGATTATACTGCCTGCCGTACGGTCTGTGTTACGTCACAGTTAACGCGCCTGTTTGCGCAGCGATATATAATTAAAAAGTACGCGGTTGAACGTTGTAAACATATACTTTTATGTCGCATCGCTGTATGCATAATTAGTTTGAAATTTTTTTTGATTTTTTTTTATCTCTTATTCTTATCGATAACGGCAATTGCCTGACAACCGGCATGGTCGTGCACATCACCCTATATACGCTCTGTATGTGTGTCACATATGTATAATATATATATATATTTATATATATACTCGTATATATATAT